GCACAGCAACGGGGTAGGCTGGCCACTGTCCCCACAAACATCCCCACTCATGTCCCTGCTGCTCCCAGCAGGCACCAGAATGAGCTGGCATGGACTGTGGTGGTGGGCGACCATGAGCTGAGCAAGACTGACGTGGGCGAGCAGGCTGTGCCCGTACGGCGCATCCTGCCTCACCCCAAGGTGGGTGAAGGAGGGCAGCCCCCAGGCATCCCCTTGGTGCTTTCTGCTCCCCAGCCCACACCATCCCTTCTCCTTCCAGTTCAACCCCAAGACATTTCATGGTGACCTGGCACTGCTGGAGCTGGCAATGCCCCTGGCACTGTCACCCACCGTGAGCCCCGTGTGCCTGCCCAGCGGCCCCACCGAGCCTGGCCCTGGCACCACCTGCTACATCGCCGGTTGGGGCTCCCTCTATGAAGGTGGGTGCCCACATCGGGTGCTTGGGGCATCCCCCTTGGTTGGGCACCCTTGGTTGTTGCCCCCCTGCCTGGCATGGAGATGCTGGTGAAGGGCGAGGCCAGGGAGCAGGGCACACTGTGACGGGAGCCTCACCCCGGCAGAGGGGCCGTCGGCCGAGGTGGTGATGGAGGCGCAGGTGCCACTGCTCAGCCAGGAAACGTGCCGCGGCGCCCTGGGCAAGGAGCTGCTCACCAGCACCATGTTCTGCGCCGGCTACTTGTCCGGCGGCATCGACTCCTGCCAGGTAATGCCTGGTGCCAGGGTGAGGGCACCGGCAGCAGTGCTGGAGCTGCCTGGTGCTGACATGAAGACATCCCTCCCACAGGGCGACTCGGGGGGCCCGCTGGTGTGCCAGGACCCCTCCTCGCACCGCTTCGTCCTCTACGGCATCACCTCATGGGGCGACGGGTGTGGCGAGCGGGGCAAGCCGGGCGTCTACACCCGCGTTGCCACCTTCACCGACTGGCTCAGCCTCCAAATGGACCGTGGGTGCTCGCCAGGGGTGGCCCAGGGGCACGGGATGGCTGTGGGGAGGGCGTCGTTGGGACACTCAAGGGGTGCAGCACCTCACGCCAGCCCCGGTGCTCCCACAGCCTCGCACACCAGCCGGGAACCCAGCTGCTTCGACCTGCTGGTGCTGGCCCAGCTGCCCCCCGAGCAGCAGCCGGCTGAGCGCACCCGCCTCTGCGCCTTCTATGCCGGTGCCTGCCCAGCGCCCCTGAGCCGGGCCGCGTGTGCCAGCCGCGCCGAGGAGACGTGTCGAGCCAGGAGGCGGCGGTGTGGTGAGTGGCAGGGGCGGTGCCCAGAGCCAGGTCCAGGGCCCGCTCCTTGTGGCGTGATGACTGGGGATGCTGTTCACCCGCTGCACCCGCAGAGCTGCACGCCTATGCCCAGACCTTAGTGGATCTTCTGCGCCAAGCTGGGGACTTCTTCCGAAACCAGCTTGACTTCTCCTTCCTCACCCGCACCCTGCCCCAGCTCGTGGGCAACATCTACAGACACTTCTTCCCTGCCCGCGTCCGCAGGGACACCCCAGGTACCCTCCTGGGTTGTGCTGCTCCAGACCCGCTGTCTGTCCTAGCACTGCCACTGGGCTCTCTTACCCCCTACTTCCCCACACCTTGTCCACACAGGTCTGGCTGTCTTAGGGGGGCAGCCTAGCCCCATGGCAGAGGGTAACGTGGGACACCGCACATCCCCCACCAGGTAAGGGGGGATGAGAGGGCACAGGGGGCTGAAGGGTTTGGGGAGATGCCCCAAGGTGGGCGAGATTCTTTGGGCGTCACCATGGGCCTGCCCAAAGCATTGGAGTCTCCCTCACCTGGGCAGACCTGGAGGGAGGTGAACACAGCCTCCCCCTATGCAGCTATGGATGCTGGGGTTCCCGATGTGGGTGGCACTGCCCGGGGGGGCGGGGTCGCCTGCCAGGCACCCACATGAACTGTCCCCCACTGTGCTTGCAGACAGGGCGCCAGGCAGTCACCCCCTTTCACTGGGCTCTTCGGAACTGTGGGGCCTCAGCTGCAGGACTGGGTGGAAGCACTGAGGGCCATGGCAGGGGGCAGCTCCTCATCACCCCCCTCAGATGGGGAGAAGATGCCTGGAGAGACGTGGCTCTTCCTGCAGGTATTTGGAGAGGGGTGAGCTGGGAATCCCCCAGCTCCTTTGGTGACCAGTGCATTAGGGACCAAATCCCTATAGCTCCACCATGTCCCTCCCACTGTCTCTTGGCCCCAGTATTCCTTGGGCAGCCGTGGAGGTGGCATCCAGCTGCCACCACCACAGAGAGAGTGTCTTGCCCTCCCCAGCTGAAACCAGTGCTCCTAGTCCAACCACTGCAGAGCCAGCTTCAGGTCCAACCCCGCAGTCAGGGGTCCTAACCCGTAGTCACCTGTCCAACCCCACCGACGTGAGTCTGACTCCATAGCTTTGACTCTGGACCAAAGTGGCCATAAGGCCACTAAAAACCCATGAGATACCAGTCCTGCAATACCCTGTGCTCTGCTGCCATGTGCCTTGGACAGTGCCCGAGGGCAGTGCCACATGTGCCCCACAGCCCGCTCTGTGCCCTCATCCCTTTCAGCAGGGTGAGGAGGCAGTGGAGGAGCTGGTGGGCCAAGGCAGAGCCTTCCTCACCCAGCTGCGAGCAGAGCTGGGCCTGGTCGCCCACCTCAAAGCCACGGAGCTGCAACAAGCACCTGGAGACCCGTCGGGGACCCCTGTGCTGAAGCGTGAGCGCCGGGCGGCAGGCAGGTTGGGGATGATGGGGCACCAGGGTTGGCACTCACTGTCCGTCTCCTCTGGGATTTTCACACCTCTCTCCGTGGCAGAGCTCACAGTGGGCAGGCAGCTGCAGGAGAAACATGATCCGGTGCCCACATCGCCCGGGGTGGAAGAGGAGGAGGAGAATGTTAAGAACCAAGGTAGGGGCCCTGACCACTGCAGGAACAGGTGCCAACATGCCCAGAAGGACCCAAGTCACCTGCTGCCCCCAGCTATGGGGTTGGTGGCAAGCCCAGACGCAGATTTGCACCCCCGTCCCAGGGAAGCTCAGCCTGTGGGTCATGACAGACCTCCCACATCCCTGCAGGTCCTCTCCCCTGTCCCGTCGGCTTACCGAGGTGGCCAGGGAAGAGCCCAGTTGCTCCTGGTCACAGTGGGGTTCCCTGGCAGAGCCCGTTGGCTTCCGCAATCACTCCGTAATCCCTGACATCCCCGTTCTCCAGTTCCAGGCTGTGCCGGCCTCAACGAGTCAGCAGCGCGAGTCAGCGCGGTTCAAGAGCTGTACGCCTGGGTGCTGCGGGTGCCCGAGTCGGACCTGGCCATGACTTTCCAGGAGGTGAGTGCCCGGGCCCAGCCTGGCTCTCCCAGCGCCCTCCTGGCTGCAAAGTCTGGGGGCTCAGATGCTGGTTTGAGTCCCTCCCAGGGAGCCAGGTGGTGCCCACCCTGCAGAGGGACAGTTGCCATCCCCCCACGCTCCCTTTCCCAGCAGCCTCCCAGGACTTCCCAGTGTTCTTCTCTCTCCACAGATCCTGGTGGACTTAGGCTCCAAAAATGCCAAGGGGCTGTACCGGGCACATGTGCGGGCCACGGTGGGGGGCCGCCCCACGGCTTTCGCCGGTCTCGTGGGCCTGGAGAGTGACTCGCTGGCCCGCAGCATGCCTGGCCTGGTGGCCTTGGCACTCGAGGCCTTGAAAACCTAACAGTACTCGCTGTGCCCTGGGCCCTGTGCCAGCCTGGGGACACATGGGGACTGAGGCAGGGGTCTCTCATGTCCCGGTGTCCCCAGGCTCAGGCAGTTTCATGGTCTTGTCCCATTCCGTGCCTCAGTTTCCTTCTCGCTGCCAGCACCCCCTGACCTCCCCCAGGGCTATAGAGCATCTTGGCCAGGATTGAAACCCTCCCTCGCCCCAGGGCCCCTGCCTTGGCCAAACCCCATCCCCCAGCACCACCCAGGCTGTTATTTATTTGTACAGAAAAGGGTTTATTTTTCAATAAAGAAGGGCTCTATTTTCTAGTAGCTCACGAGTCTAAGGGGGTGCTGCGCCACGCGGAGCCCGCGAGGCAGGCGCTGGGGGAGCCTTGTGCGCGTGATGCAGCACCCTGACGCAGCTCTCTCCCATGCCCCAGGGCCATGCACACCCCCCTAGCATCGGTTCACAGCCCTGGCATTGGTGCTGAGCTCCATTCCCCTGGCCAGGGGGGTCATGCACCCTTTCCTGCCCACCAGGCACCCAGGGAGGCCTCCCATGCCTAACATCACCTTCCCGGGCCCAAGGCAGGTTCCTGGAGGGCTCTGCCGCGTGGCATGGAGATGCAAAGGGGGTGCAGGGGGACATATGTGGTGGCTATGGACTAAGTTGTGCTTTGGAGCTGCAGGGCAAGGGGTGTCCCCTGCTAACCCTGCCCCCGGACTCTCCCTCTAGCAATACCACTCTTTCTACAAAAGACCCAGCCACCCAGTACCACCCGTGAGGGGTGGCCAGCCGCCAGCCCCTGCCCATGAGCACCTTTGGCTGTCAGCACGTTTGTCCCCTTGCTTTCAGAGAGTCTGGGCCCCTTCATTGCCCCCCACACCCACTCGCCTGCCTCAAGCAGCATCCCTGGACCTGCCGAGCTGCAGGAAGGCTACTCACCCC